GTGACACTTGCAAGCTAGCAAAGGTAAAAGGATGCAGTTACCCAAAGGTGGAACGTATAGCCACAAAACCTTTTGAGCTGGTGCACATAGATTTGTCCGGTCCTGTCAAGGCACCAAGTCTAGGGGGGGCCAGGTTTCTGCTCGTTTTTCTGGATGATTTCTCGCAGAATTCCTGGGCTCACGGTCTTAAATCCAGGGAGGATGCAGCACGGCTGATCAAGAGCTGGATTGAAGGGGTGGAACAGAGGTTCTCCACCAGGGTTCAAGCTATCATCAGTGACAGAAATGCTAAGTACACTGGTTCTGCTTTGCAGGAGTTCTTTCACAAGAAAGGGATAAGACACACAGTTATTTCACCCCAGCAAGGTGGGGTGGCAGAGCTGCGAAGTGGAGCTCTAGTTCAGGCTGCACAGGTGTTGCTGAAAGATTCTGAGTTACCTCCAAGGTTTTGGCTGGAGGCAATCAAGTATGTGAGCTTCACCTGGAATCGTGTCTATAACTCATTGGTAGGTGACACACCGTTTTCTTTGTTAAATGGCCGAAAACCCCAGGTTCACTTTCTGCGGACGTTTGGGACCCCTGCGCTTGTCTCTGTGCCTGAGGCTTTGCGAGGGCCAGATGGAGCCAAAGTCCAGAAAATGATCTTCTGTGGGTATGAGCCAGAAGCCCGTGCATGGAGGTTCGCATTTCCATCAGGTGATCAGAGTAAGTTACTGATCAGTAAACACGCTGAGTTCTTTGAGCAGAGTGAGAAGCCAAAGATTGTTTTCCAGCGTGATCTTCTCTCAGATTGTCTCTCTGACCCAGAGGACAGTTGTGATGAGGAGGAAGGAGAGGCTGAGCCTGCTGATGAGGACCAGGTCCAGGATCAGGGTTCAGAATCCGATGATGATGATCAGTTCACTGACCAAAGTCAGGAGCAAAGTCAGGAACAGGAGGAGGTATCTGTAATTTCTCCACAGGTTAAGAGAACACCCAAAAGCGAGCCCAGTTCTCCGGTGAGTGTAATGGAGAGGGTTCGAAAACGTTTTAAGTCAGAGGGGGAATCCCGTGAGGCTGAGGACACAGGTTCTGGTGGCAGTGAGTCAGAGGTAACATCTGAGTTTGTGCCCAGAAGGTCCAGTCGCTCAACGAAGGGCATTCCGCCGGAGAGGTACCAAGCAACAAGTGCGTGGGCCTGGTTCGCACAGTGTGATTCTGGGAGTGTTGAAGGGGTTCAACAGGTGCCTGGGAAAGATGCTGGGAAGGAGCACAAGGCAAAGGGGAAGGTGTTGAACTCAAAAAGGTCTCGTCAGAAGGTGCAGCAAGGGGGGTGTTGGAGCTGGAACTTAACGGGTTAAGCTTTTCCCAGGATGCTACACCATTCTGACGTCACTTTTCGAAGCTGGGAGGAGTTTGGGAGGAGCTAGTCAGTCCCACTATGTGAGCTGTGGGGAAAAGGACGTAGTGCTGTGATGGCTGCAACTAGTCCTGGAAATTCCTGAGAAATGTTGGAAATAAAAGCTGTATAGAGACAAACGGGACTCTGTGTGTTTGTCTGAAAGCTGAATCAAGTTGGTGACAGTTTTACATCGCTGTGCGAAGCTCTGCTGAACCGTGACGGAGAAGTGCCGGAGTGGAAGCGTGCCGGGCAGCAATAAATCGCTAATTGAGGTCCGTAGATCAATTAGCGGGGGTCACGGCTAACAAAACAGCACATTCAGGACCAGGGAAATGTAGTGTTGGAAGGGACCACAAGAATCATCTAGTCCTGGGGTAAAGGTAAAGGGACCCCTGACCGTTAAGTCTAGTGGCGGATAACTCTGGAGTTGCAGCACTCATCTCACTTTACTGGCCAAGGGAGCCAGCGTACAGCTTCCAGGTTATGTGGCCAGCATGACTAAGCCGCTTCTGGCGAACCGTTTACCTTCCCGCCAGAGCGGTACCTATTTATCTACTTGCACTTTGATGTGCTTTCGAACTGCTAGGTTGGCAGGAGCAGGGACCGAGCAATGGCAGCTCACCCCGTCGCGGGGATTCAAACCGCCAACTTTCTGATAGGAAAGCCCTAGGTTCTGTGGATTAGACGACAGCACCACCTACGTCCCAGTCCAGGGGTAGTCAACCTTTTATACTTAACGCCCACTAATGCATCTTTTTTGATGGTAAAATTTCCTTACCGCCCACCAGGACTTGATGGGAGGATTCAGAACCCCCTACTGCCCAGTTAGAATCCTGAAATGCCCACTAGTGTACGGTAGGGACCAGGTCGACAATCCCTGATCTAGACCAACCCCCTGCAATGCAGGAAAAACAACCCGACCTCTGCTGAAAAACCTTAAAAAAGGAAGGAAAGTTCACCACCTTCCAAGGTAGCTCATCTCACTTGCAGTCAGAAATTTCTTCCTAAAGCTTAGGATTAGATGTATTTTTACTCCTTGCATAAAATACAGATGCAGGAAGAGTCGGAAAGCCAGGAAGTAATTGTAATCTCTGTATTTACGTGGATTTAAATGAAAGAAGTGAAAGAAGCTCTCTTACATAACTGGGACAAAATTACATAACTGGGAAAAAAATATTACAAAAGACAATACCAATAAAGAGTACAAATTAAGAAGGGGGGAAGGAAAAGAAAACTTAAACTATCTATTGTTATTAGTAAGATAAAGAATATGACATAAATTTGAGATTGCAATTTCATGTTACAGTAAAAAAAATCTCATTATCATTAAACCCAACCTCCCATTTATTCCTTAGTTCTTTCTAAATAACTTTACTGCCATACCAAAATATTATTTTTTATATTATTTTTACAGAGTTTTTTTGTTGTTTAGTCATTTAGTTGTGTCCGACTCTTTGTGACCCCATGGAACAGAGCACGCCGGGCACTCCTGTCTTCCACTGCCTCCCGCAGTTTGGTCAAACTCATGCTGGTAGCTTAAAGAACACTGTCCAGCCATCTCGTCCTCTGTCGTCCCCTTCTCCTTGTCCCCTCCATCTTTCCCAACATCAGGGTCTTTTCCAGGGAGTCTTCTCTTCTCATGAGGTGGCCAGAGTATTGGAGCCTCAGCTTCACAATCTGTCCTTCCAGTGAGCACTCAGGGCTGATTTCCTTCAGAATGGAGAGGTTTGATCTTCTTGCAGTCCATGGGACTCTCAAGAGTCTCCTCCAGCACCATAATTCAAAAGCATCAATTCTTCAGCAATCAGCCTTTTTTATGGTCCAGCTCTCACTTTCATACATCACTACTGGGAAAACCACAGCTTTAACTAAACGGACCTTTGTCGGCAAGGTGATGTCTCTACTTCTCAAGATGCTGTCTAGGTTTGCCATTGCTTTTCTCCCAAGAAGCAGGCGTCTTTTAATTTCGTGGCTGCTGTCACCATCTGCAGTGATCATGGAGCCCAAGAAAGTAAAATCTCTCACTGCCTCCATTTCCCCCCCTTCTATTTGCCAGGAGGTGATGGGCCCAGTGGCCATGATCTTCGTTTTTTTGATGTTGAGCTTCAGACCATATTTTGCGCTCTCCTCTTTCACCCTCAATAAAAGGTTCTTTAATTCCTCCTCACTTTCTGCCATCAAGGTTGTGTCATCTGCATATCTGAGGTTGTTGATATTTCTTCCGGCAATCTTAATTCCGGCTTGGGATTCATCCAGCCCAGCCTTTCGCATGATGAATTCTGCACATAAGTTAAATAAGCAGGGAGACAATATACAGCCTTGTCATACTCCTTTCCCAATTTTGAACCAATCAGTTGTTCCATATCCAGTTCTAACTGTCGCTTCTTGTCCCACATAGAGATTTCTCAGGAGACAGATGGGGTGATCAGGCACTCCCATTTTGATACAAATTCAGCTCTCGGTTTATTTTTTCCTGATAAGCTATCTAATTCAGCATATTCAGTCAATTTTTGAATCCACTCCTGTCTGGAAGGAATTATGTTGCTTTTCCACCTTGATGGCTATAAGGACTCTCGCTGCCACTGTTGCATACAAAAAATACCTTTAATTTGTTTTGGAATATCTGAGTCAGTGATCCCCAACAGATGTGCCTCTGGCTTTCTATTACAGTGGTACCTCGTGTTACAGACACCTCAGGTTACAGATGCTTCAGGTTACAGACTCCACTACCTCAGAAATAGTACCTCGGTTAAGAACTTTGTTTCAGGATGAGAACAGAAATCGCACGGTAGCAGCGGGAGGCCCATTAGCTAAGTGGTACCTCAGGTTAAGAACAGTTTCAGGTTAAGAATGGACCTCCAGAACAAATTAAGTTCTTAACCCGAGGTCCCACTGTAAAGGAAAGTCTTAACATTTTTTCTAATTCTGAATGGATTTCCTCCCAAAATTTCTTTATTTTGCTACATTGCCACCATATATGATACAGTGAGCCTGTTTGATCTCCACATCTCCAACAGTTACTTTTGGCTCCTTTGTACATTTTGGCTAATTTCCATGGAGTCAAATACCACTGGTGCTGCATTTTAAACGTTTTCCTTATGGCATAGCACGTGGTAAATCTCCAACTATTCTTCCACAGATTTTCCCATTGGGACAATGTTTATAACATACCCAAAGTCTTGAGACCACTTTATCACGGCTGATGTAAATCAAATCTCGAGGTTTCCTTGGCAAACCCTTTTTAACTACATTAATTTTTTTGAATATTGGATAATATTGGAAACCAATCTGTAATAATATCTCTTAATTCCTCAAAACTTTTAAGTTTCAGTTGGTTATCTTCTTTTAAAATTATTTTATAAGTAGGCCAATTTCACAACGTATTTTTTTCCTTCACCACTGTGGCCTCTGCTTGGAGAGGCCCACCACGGGATTTTAGGCTCCAACCGATCTTTGTATTTCTCCCAAACTTTAAGAAGTGATCTCCTTATAATATGATTTGAGAAATCTCTGTGTATTTTTGCCTTTCCATAAATTCAATAAGGGTGCCAAGCCCAACGGTTATTATGTCCCTCCAAATCCAATAAACCTATATCTTGCAAATTAGCGGTGCCTCCACTTTAAAGTGCTTTCCTCATTACAAGAATCGAAATATTTTCCCCATCTTGATTCACTTATGCAAAATGAGATGCGAAATCTGACCAAATCTTTTCCCACATTCCAAGTATATATATGGTTTATCCCATGTGAGTTCTTTTATGAGAAGTAAGCGTAGATCCATGTGCAAATCTCTTTCCACACTCCAAACATTTATATGGTTTCTCCCCTGTGTGAGTTCTTTTATGAGAAGTAAGGGCAGATCCCTGTGCAAATCTCTTTCCACACTCCAAACATATATATGGTTTCTCCCCTGTGTGAATTCTTTTATGAGAAGTAAGGCCAGATCCATGTGCAAATCTCTTTCCACAGTCCAAACATTTATATCGTTTCTCCCCTGTGTGAACTTTGTGATGAGATCTAAGGCTTGAGCTTTCAGTGAAGTTCTTTCCACACTCAAAACAGGTATATGGTTTCACCCCTGTGTGAATTCTTTGATGACATTTAAGCTGTGATCTGTGAGTGAAGCTCTTTCCACACTCAAAACATGCATACGGTTTTTCACCTCTGTGAATTTTTGATGTTTATGAAGGCCTGTACCATGCCGGAAGCTCTTTCCACACTCAAAGCACTTATATGGCTTCTCTTCTGAATGGATTCTGCGGTGGATAACAAGTGATGTGGAGTTACTAAAGCTCTTTCCACATGTCACACATTTATATGGTTTTTCCCCTGTATGGATTCGCTCATGCACAGTAAGATGTGAACTATGACTGAAGCTCTTCCCACACTCAAAGCATTTATACGGCTTCTCACCAGTGTGAGTTCTCTTATGTGAACTAAGGTGTGAACTCTGGCTGAAGCACTTTCCACATTCCAAGCATTTATATGGTTTCTCCCCTGTGTGGGTTCTCTTATGTGTAGTAAGGCTAACACTGTGAGCAAAGCTCCTTCCGCACTCCAAACATTTATAAGATTTCTCCCCAGTGTGAATTCTTTGATGCAATGTAAGACTTGAGCCATGAGCGAAGCTCATTCCGCACTCCAAACATTTATATGGCTTCTCCCCTGTGTGGATTTTTTGATGCATTGCAAGGCCTGAGCTGCTAGTGAAGGCCTTTCCACACTCAAAACAGGTATATGGTTTCTCCCCTGTGTGGATTTTTTTATGATATACAAGGCTTGATCTGCTAGTGAAGGCCTTTCCACACTCTAAACAGGTATATGGTTTCTCCTCAGTGTGGACTTTGTAATGTCTTTTAAGGTATGAGTGGCGATTGAAACCCTTTCCACATTCTAGGCATTGGTATGATTCCTGTCCTGCGTGAATTCTTTCATGTGATTTTAGGCCTGAGCTGTCACTGAAGTTCTTTCCACACACCAAGCATTCACACGGTTTCTCCTCTGTGTGGATTCTGCAGTGTGAATTGAACCTAGACTTACTTTGGAATGTTTTGCCACATAAAGGTCTCCCATTTGTTTTCTTCCCCTTCTGATGTTTTTTCTGGACTGGGATTTGATGGTCGTTATCAGTCTGCATTAGAAGGCCTTCATACCTCCCGTTTTCTTCTTGGTTTTTCTCTTGTGGTCTTGTTTCCTCTTGATCTTGAAAGGTCCTTCCTTTGACTTCATTCTTGGTTCTTTCTGATGAGACCCAAGAACAACGACTGTCGTGTTCATCACCTGCTAAAGTTAAGGGAAGATGACAATTAAAAATGTAATCCAAATCACCATCCTAGTGAGACTTTCTGTAACATCTGATGATGATGATGGTGATTTTATTATTTATACCCTGCCCATCTGGCTGGGTTTCCTCAGCCACAGCATATATAAAACATCAAACTGCCCAATACAGGACTGCCTTCAGATGTCTTCTAAAAGCTACATAGTTCTTTATCTGCTTGACATAATAATAATAAATAATAATAATAATAATAATAATAATAATAATTTATTATTTATACCCCGCCCATCTGGCTGAGTTTCCCCAGCCACTCTGGGCGGCTCCCAATCAGTGTTAAAAACAGTACAGCATTACATATTAAAAACTTCCCTGAACAGGGCTGCCTTAAGATGTCTTCTGAATGTCAGGTAATTCTTTATCTCTTTGACATCTGATGGGAGGGCGTTCCACAGGGCGGGCGCCACTACCGAGAAGGCCCTCTGTCTGGTTCCCTGTAGGCTCACTTCTCGCAATGAGGGAACCGCCAGAAGGCCCTCGGCGCTGGATCTCAGTGTCCGGGCTGAACGATGGGGGTGGAGACGCTCCTTCAGGTATACAGGACCGAGGCCGTTTAGGGCTTTAAAGGTCAGCACCAACACTTTGAATCGTGCTCGGAAACGTACTGGGAGCCAGTGCAGATCTCTCAGAACCGGTGTTATGTGGTCCCGGCGGCCACTCCCAGTCACCAGTCTAGCTGCCGCATTCTGGATTAATTGCAGTTTCCGGGTCACCTTCAAAGGTAGCCCCACGTAGAGCGCGTTGCAGTAGTCCAAGCGTGAGATAACCAGAGCATGCACCACTCTGGCGAGACAGTCCGCGGGGAGGTAGGGTCTTAGCCTGCGTACCAGGTGGAGCTGGTAGACAGCTGCCCTGGACACAGAGTTAACCTGCGCCTCCATGGACAGCTGTGAGTCCAAAATGACTCCCAGGCTGCGCACCTGGTCCTTCAGGGGCACAGTTACACCATTCAGGACCAGGGAATCCTCCACACCTGCCCGCCTCCTGTCCCCCAAAAACAGTACTTCTGTCTTGTCAGGATTCAACCTCAATCTGTTAGCCGCCATCCAACCTCCAACCGCCTCCAGGCACTCACACAGGACCTTCACCGCCTTCACTGGTTCTGATTTAAAGGAGAGGTAAAGCTGGGTGTCATCTGCATACTGATGAACACCCAGTCCAAACCCCCTGATGATCTCTCCCAGCGGCTTCATATAGATATTAAAAAGCATGGGGGAGAGGACAGAACCCTGAGGCACCCCACAAGTGAGAGCCCAGGGGTCTGAACACTCACCCCCCCCCACTTTCTGGACACGGCCCAGGAGGAAGGAGCGGAACCACTGTATGACAGTGCCCCCAGCTCCCAGCCCCTCTAGACGGTCCAGAAGGATGTTATGGTCGATGGTGTCAAAGGCCGCTGAGAGATCCAGCAGAACTGAAACAGCTCTCACCTTTGTCC